GTGCATAAAATCCAAAAATCAACTTCAATTACTTATATGCACATATACATATCGTCCAGATGAACGTTGAAAATCGTACTTACTCCTTATCTTTCTTCTCAGTTTTTCATTTTTTATGCGTTTCCCTTAACCTGACCTTATGTGTGTGTGTGTGTATTGGTTTTATTTACAAACTCAATCAGTAGAGTGGTACAAACTACTCTAAACCATGTATTTAGTCTAATGAATATCTGATTCAATGATTATATATATATATATATATATATATATATACTAGTTGTGTACCCGCGCAATGCGACGGGAGCCATGAATTTTAACGATTTTGAAGTTTCATTGGTTTTATAAGACAAGATTTAACGATGATATAGATTACACTTGATCTTTACATATTAATACAATTTGAATAAATAAGGGTTATGGTTCTAATTACAAACTATCGATGAAAAAAATTGTATGACAGTTTAAAATCCAATATATTTAAAATTCAACTTATTTAAACGACTCCACAAATGTGTTCGATTTACACCAAGAGCAAAGAACCAAAAAACTTGAGTTTTAAGATAAACACTCAAAACCAATAAAGAAAACTACAAATTTGACAGATCATAAGATATGAAAAGACCAAAAAAGATGGGTTAGAATGAAATTTCAACTGCTTACTATCTTTCTTGTCCAGAATCTCAGATTAAGGTTGAATTAATACATGTATATATATATTTCAAAAAAACCCAAGAACATATTATACTGTGCAATTTGGACAGTCTAATCCCAAAATGTATAGCATATATATAAATAAATAACTATAAAAGTATAAATCGTAAACATTAAAAATATTTTTTCACGGTATATATAATATATAATAATATAATTAAGTCAAAAACTATTCAATATTGGACTCATTTCGAAGGTATTAACGAGACGATTATAATAGTGTAACTTGTTAAAATAAAAAAATATTTTTAAAACATGTTTTATTTGATATACGATTATGTATGTTAATTTGATAAAAGTTTAAAATGAAACATTTAAAAGTAAATGACGTAAAGTAATTAATTAACTAATTATAGGGATATAAAATATAAATTTAAAATTATAATTTAAAAAATATCCGTTGAATGTGAGAGGTAAATGTATGTGAGGAGGTGAGTGTATGTGAGGAGAGAAAGGGGTGAAAATGTGAAAAGGGTATCTTGGTCATTTATAATTTTAAGACTTTAAGACTTTTAATGAATTTGTTTAATAAGATAGTATATATATATATATATATATATATATATAAGGGTCCATTCAAGGGAGAACTGATTAGTTTGTGGTAACTGTGAGATCCAATCTCAACCACAAATCAATGAATAAATTAGGAAATTAATAATTATGGTAATTTGAGTTAAAATTATAATTAGAGGACATTTTAGGTATTTTTAAAAACTCTTCTCTCCTCTCTCCGACCTCCGACCTCCAATCTCCGGCCTCCGGTGAACATTAATCCGGCAGGTACCAAGTAATCACAAAGATACGCAATGTGATACCCATTGTGATATACCGTGATACCATTGTGATACCAACTATGATATCAACTCAAACTTTATAAACAAAGATACACAATGTGATACCCATTGTAATATATTGTGATACCGATTTCACCGGAGGCCGGAGATTGGAGGTCGGAGAGATGAGAGAGGAGAGAAGAGTTTTTTAAAAAATACCTAATATGCTCTCTAATTATAATTTTAACTCAAACTACCATAATTATTAATTTCCTAATTTATCCGTTGATTTGTGCCTGAGATTGGACCTCAGAGTTACCACAAACTAATCAGTTCTCATTTGATTAGACCCCTATATATATATATATATTGGTTTCATTTACAAACCCAATCAGCAGAGTAGTACAAACTGTTCTCAACCATTTATTTAATCTAATGAATATCTTATTTAATAAATATTTCGATTGTTTTCTAATACAAAACGTTGATTATAAATGAACTTTGAACCTTTATAATTTTTTGAATCATAGTAAATAAACTCTCGGTTCATAATAAATGAGTTTGTAAACGATCCCCTCACCATATATTTTTATTCCAAGGAGGAATAAAAATTCCCTTATGGTCATGGAGGTTTAAATGTCGTGACTCCGGATTATCTACAAAACAGGTGGTAATCTTAGAATTAGTCTGTTAGCATAGCAGATTGGATATCCAGATTAATAAAAAAAATATTCATGACTTACAATTTCTTGTAATATTGTTTTATTAAAAAAGTATCACAGAAATTTGACCGTAGTCATATATATATATATATATATATACTATATTATAAAGCATTTGACAAAAACTCTTAAAAACCATTTTTTTATACATGGAGTACTGTTTATTGATGTATATTACTTAAAATTCAAGATTACAAATAAAATGTGCGTAAGTACAACTTATTAAAACTTCATGTTTGAATTTTGTGTAACTAATTTTAGATAAACATAGTCAAATACAAAATAAACATTTTCGTTTAAATATAAAAAATTTAAAATATAATTACAATAATCATTAAGTTCTAACAAAAAATTATATTATTAAATTAAAAATAAATTATTTTGTAATAAAATCTAAATTAATATATAATTAAAAAATTGAATTAAAAAAATTACACAAAAAACAAAAACTTTTAAATAGTTAATTTGATACTAATATTGATATATTTATATTTGAAATTTTTTGATATCTTTAAATTTATATTTTATTTAAAAATAAAAACATTATCGTTTTTTATTAACCTGGATCTCCAACCCACTATGCGAGCCGACTATAAATAAAGAGGTTTAACCGGTGGAAAATTCCAACGGTACTACATTGGAAAAAGTCTCCATCGGTGGATCTCATCTTTGGAATGTGTTCCATTCATTGTAGAAAAATCCGTCGGTGATGATCAGTCTGCTGAGGATCCGCCACAAACTGATGGTATTACCCGTGGAAAAAGTTATCGGTGAAGTCTCTTTGTTTTGTAGTGTCGACAAACATATTTTACACGTTTATGAACGTGAAGACAAAAAAAAATTACAAACCTCGTAACTATAACATGTAAATATAACGGTTGACAATCTAATTATGATCGATTTGTTGCAGTCATGCATGTATACGTTACATAATAATTTGTATCTTGTTAATAATTAGATTTTATAAATAAAATATATATCGATGATGATCTATAATATACAATTAATAACGGTGTATCCTACTCATATCTTTTCGGGTATATAAGTTTGGAAGGGTAATGACTACATTATTTTCTTCGAAAACCTTTTAATTTTACGTTAATCTGACAAACCAACAAATTTTCAAATTAATCCTTTCTCGAGGGCAAAAATTAAATCGAAATAGTCATTTTATCATCAATGTATTTTTAATTTTAGCATATAACCAGGTTAATATTGTTCAGTATTAATTACTAATCGAGTAACAGTATAAATTATATGATACATAAATTTATTACATAAGTCACGTCTTAAAAAACGTTGTGACCTTATCGTACCTCTTAATTGTCAAGGTTTTATATCAATACTAGACCACAATTTATGTCATTAAAAATCTTTTTTTTGTAAGGGTGTCCGGGCCAACGCCCGACTAATCCCCGGCAATTTTGGAGGCTAAACATGGCCCCACTTAAATGTCGCCAACACTTCCCTCCCAGGGCTCGAACTTGGGTTCATGATTATACCATACCCAAGCCTTTACCATTAGGCTGGAAGGTCTTTGACGTCATTAAAAATCTTGTTTCTCATGAATTGATATTATTTTGACCGATTTTTTTTTGAAGTTCAATAGACTGAAAATATTGGGTTTCGAATCTTTTTTTTTGTTAATATAGTAGCTGGTCCTTTCTTTAGAAACCTGTTATGCACGTGACATGAACATGACATGCATGCATACATATTCATACACATATAGAGGGAGGGGTAGGTTACGTTGCAAACCGCTCAATTCATGAGAACTATGCAAACCATTTTCGACCAGTAGGAAAATTTCCGTTTTTTTATTTAAATTTAATAAGGGTATAATGGTTATTTCATCGTATATTGATTGATATTGGAAAGTAATAACTACTGTTAATTATGGAAATGTAATAATGGAAATGTTTCATATGAAAGGAGGTAAAAAAAAATTTAATATAATTTTTTTACCATTAATATTTTTTATTATTTTATTAAATTATACTCATTAAAATATGAATTGTAAAAGCAGTAGAATATGAAATTTGTGTTCATTTCATTTCTTGAAATAGTTTCATTTCTTGATTTGATGAAACAATTTCATTAACGGTTATTGAATTAGTATTGAAACAAAAAATAATGAAATGGTTTCATTTCTTGATTAAATGAAACAAACAGAGATTTCATCTTCTACTGCTTTTACAATTTATATTTTAATAAGTAATAATAAAATAATAAAAAATATTAATGGTAAAAAATTATATTAAGAAAAAAGATTTACCTCCTTTCATATGAAACGTTTCCATTAATACATTTCTATAATTAACAGTAGTTATTAGGATATACCTAATTCATTGTCGGAGATTTTGACAAATTTGCCTTTTTTTAATTAAAAATTAAACTTTTATTTTATTTTTATTTCTTTATTTCTTAATATAAACTCATTTAATATTTGACCATTGATGAAGAAAATGGATGGATAGAATTGGTTTGTAAGGTTTTCACAAATGAGAGGTGTTTGCAATTGATCTCTGATCTCTTTCTGTATATATATATATTACTATTACTATAGGACAATGGAACATGCAGTGATTACTTGTACCTTTGCATGTTTTTTTCTTTAACGTATACTGTAAATGCAACCTCGAAAGGGTGAGTCTAAAATCAAGTGAAATACGTAGTTGCAACTTGTATATAATGTGTTACAAGAATATTTCATAATCAAACACATTTTATTAAACTCTATATGTCGAATAAAACTATTTATTAAAGTAAAAATAACAGAATTAATTAATTAAGAAAAAATAATTAGGCAAAGAACAACATCTTGATTCACTGAATGATTAACTGAACATTAATTATAAATTAAACACACTTAAAGCAATAATCATCTTCAGAAGATTGCTCCTCAACAAATCAAAAGCAATATTAATTTCCATAAACAACTAATTACTCCAAGTTTACAAGAGATTCATCCCAATAGACATCCTCTCCTGGAGATTGGATTTCATCGATGCCTCCTGCAAATTAAATCCATGCATGTTATAAGCACTTCTGAAAAACTTCTGCAAATTTGGGTTGCACAGTTTTACTGCATTATATATATATATATATATATATATATGTATGTATGGTAGTATAATTCACCTCCAAGAATGGTGGCAGAAAAGGGAGCATATATAACAAATGTGCATGAATACACACACAAAAAGTGATATGTAGAGGGTTTTATATAATTACATGTAAAAGGAAGTAGAATTCAAGAATTAGGGTTAGGGTTCTGTGAGGATAATATGTATAAAAATGGAAAGTTACCTGAGCAGGGACCTTCTTAATTTAGATAGAGCAAGTGTAGCCGGGAGGAGGGGACTTGCCACAAGTAGCAAGCAGCTGAAGAGCAATTGGTAGGTAAATATTGAGGTTCAACAGATTGACCTTTAGGGTTGTGCACAAGCAAACTGCAGCCTCTATTTCTGCTAGCCCGGCTAGAACCGCGCAACATTTGTTCTCGGCAGGGTCACCCAATCCAATGTGGACTAACCCTCCTAGAAGGTCCACACAGGCTCCGAGCTTTAGGGTGTCAATTGGGCATGTTGCCGGGGGAACAGGTGTAAACATTGGTGGCGGGCAGGGTTTCCCCCCTGGTGGTGTGACAACAGGTGGTGTGACAACAGGTGGGGTCACGACGGGTGGTTTGACAAGCGGGGGGATGGTGATTGGTGGTATAACAGGTGGGAGCTCGATTGGTGGTTTAACTGGTGGGATAGTGACTGGTGGGAGTTCGACCGGTGGTTTAACTGGTGGGAGTTCGACTGGTGGTTTAACCGGTGGGAGTTCGACCGGTGGTTTAACTGGCGGGATAGTGACTGGTGGGAGTTCAACCGGTGGTTTAACTGGCGGGAGTTCGACCGGTGGTTTGACCGGTGGGAGCACGACCGGAGGTTTGACCGGTGGGAGCACGACCGGAGGTTTGACCGGTGGGAGTACGACCGGAGGTTTGACTGGTGGTACTTTGATTGGTGGTTTTACTTTGGGAGGGACTTTGGTTGGAGGCTTGACGACGGGTGGTTTTTTGGTGGGTGGTTTTTTGGTGGGTGGTTTTGGTTTGTCGCATGGTCCGCAATCAAGCACGGGAGTTGCGGAAGAAACCAAGAAGAGTGAAATGAAAAAGAGAGCAGAAAGCTTCTTAGAGGACTCCATTGGAGATGGATATCAAGTGAAGGGATATGGCGATGGTGTTATATAGAGTTCATGGGTGTTTTTATTGCTTAATTTTATTAGTTGTAAATACATGTATATCTCGAAAACAAACAAGAAGTTTTAATGAGAGGGTAAGAGAAAAGCTAGGGCACATGTATGTGTTTTGTGCACATTGGGAGGTGACAAATTTTGCAAGTTGGCAAATAATTCTACCATTTTATGCATACTAAGGTTGTATTTTTTTCGTTTCCTTTTTCTTGAAATTCTAATATTTGATAATTTTAGTATACAAAATATATCACTAGTCACTCGATTCTTATCAAACCGACTACATGTCCGTGAGGATCCCACCAGGTCAAAGGCCCAGAAAAATAAAAAATCGTGGTTGGAAACGTTTCACTTTGATATTTTTATTCATACTGAAACTTACAAAGTTGTTCTCTTGGTAAATTACAGGACATGGATGAGGGTCGGAAAAATCACAGAGACACCGTATGATACGATAGGGCTTGGATTGGTATAAATATATATCACTTATAATTAATAGAGTCTAACTAGAAACTCTATTTTGTTATGCTGTTTTGAAGGTTGTGTTTAGTAATACCAACAAATACTGAACATATGAATAATAGATTGTTCATATACTGTTACACATTATCTCAAAAACCTTGATTTCCAGAAAGAATTTATTTCAATCATTCATGTACTTTGAGAGTGACCCACACTTGGATATCCAACCCGTTATGCGAGTCGACTAATCACAGGACGACCATCTGCTTTGCAGATAGTCCGAAGTCACCGCATTTGAACCTCCGTGGCCACAAGAGGATTTTTATTCCTCCTTGGATTTGAACTTGAAACCTCTTGATACTTTTGACATTTGGAGCCAAGCTCAAACCAATCAAACACCACCTTGTGGTTCACATGTTTCATATTAAAATAAATGCTTGTGTAAATACCAATATCGTTTTTACTGTAGCTATATATGAGTACATATTATTTCTATGTACATGCTTAGACAATCAATCTAGAATCCCATCCTTCTCATAACCAGAAGCTAAAGTTCATGGACAGTGTACCATATTTACTGTAGCTATATATGAGTACATATATATTTTTTTACTTTTAACTCAATTAGTTACTAGAAAGAGGTCATGGCTAATGGCTCACAAGTGTACTCCTGTTGTACAATCTTGATACAAATAAAAATAAGGAAAATTGGCACAAATAGTTATTCTATCTTTCATGAAACGGTCTTCTAGTCACTCCTTTCTTGATTTACCCAAATATCATTACCTCCACAAGTGTCACATCCCCCACCTACAGACCTAGCTAAATGATTCATTTTTTTGATTTCAACTCGGGTCCGCAAATTACGGAGGTAGCACTTGTGGACTTAGCTATAAGGAAAAAAAATTACAAGTTCACCGCAGGTCCGTAAATGTTACCTCCATGCATAACTTGCGAACTTGAGTTGAATCTGATTTTTTTTTTAGTCAGGTCCGTAAAGCGGGAGAGGGGGGTGCCACTTACGGAGATAGTGACATTTGGGTAAATCAGGAACGGAAAGTTAAACCATTGGTATAAAAAAAAAGTTAAAATCAAGGCTCCTATTTTTGTTGGTGCCTAAATAAATACATATCTTGTCTTTATATAGGAACGACTTTATACTTTTTTTTATAGGTAACTATGTACATTTCCAAGAAAGGAAAGCCAATAATGTGCCTATGCTTCTATTCTATCACACTTGGCCTCAGGCAAAAGCGTAGTCGACACCACATAAGTTTGATATACACTTGAATACTTTTATCTATATTTAAGTTTATTTACCTATTTTTATCATCATGACAGATAATTTATGCATGTGAAAGTAATTAAATATATATAAAAGTTCGTAAAATTGCCTAAAAATGAAAATAAATTTAAAGATAAAATTAGTAGATGAATGTAGATGGAGGTACTAAAAATAGTTGAAAAAAATAAAGTTCGATTAAGAAACCAATTCATATAAGGGATGAGAAGTGTTCTTACCATATGTGTTGTTAAGCTCTCACGAGCTCCCAAATTTGCTACATTTCCACTAAACGAGCTCCCAAGGATCTGTGTTCTAGAGAGGCTTGAACGTGCTCATCTTGAGAATGTTTGCTTTTATGGCTGAAAACTAATCAAAACGGCATTAGCGAAAATATAAATTTTAGTGAAATGGTGTATTTTAGTTGTATTTTTTTGTTATTTTTAGTTGTAGTCACAAACACATAAAAAAACTCACATTAAGAAACAAATATATGTGAAATAAACATATTGTGAAATAAATATATGTTAATTAATACATGAAATCCAAGCCGTAGATGGACAAAGATCATGTGAAACGGCTTATAATGCACCGGTTCTCAAGGTTATCACAATTTTACAGGTTTCCCGAAAGAAGACCCCCTACATACATACACATGTACACACGCACACACCCACCCACACACAGACACACACACACACACACACACTCATATATATATATATATATATATAGAGAGAGAGAGAGAGAGAGAGAGAAAACATAGAGAGAATTAGGATTGTGTAGGAAATCAAAATTTAATGAGAATGGCAGAAACATTCTAGAAAACGTTAACATATGTTAGCATCGAAATGTTAACATAAGTTAACATGAAAATATTAAAATAAGTTAAAATACATTAACTTATCTTGACATGAAATGTTAACGTATATTACATTTTAACTTATGTGAACTTTCGCTAACAAATTACTTCTTATGTACGCTTCCTATGAAATTTGATTTCCTACTAAAATCCAACCATATATGCACAACCATACATACATACAAAGTCATTGACACATCCCTTCTCCCTCCCTAGATCTTCAATGGCTTCCATCTCTAGCGTGCCCATAAACATGGAAATATGACACACACACAAAATCTATACCGCTATATATATGAAAAAAAATAAGGAAATAGGTCTCGTAAAAGTAGTTGAGAGAGTGATCATTTCCATGTTTTTCTTAGAGATTAGAGGAGTATAAATCAGTCGAGTCGAGTAGTAAGTATTCGAGCTCGACTCGAAAAACTATATTAGGCTCGAGCACGAATAAATTTTTCAAAGTAAGGCTCGACTCGAAAAACTATATTAGGCTCGAGCACGAATAAAATTTTCAAAGTAAGGCTCGACTCGAGATCAAATATTTTTTGAATTACCGAGCTTGAGCTCTATGCACGTTTATAGGCATGCTCATGATCGATTATCTCATTTATTTGAACTCCCTAATTTTTATATTTTTATTGTATGATTCAAAAATACAAGACAATATTTGGCTAGAAAAAGTGTAAGCTCGAATAGCTCGGCTCAAATCGAACCACATGGGTTCGTGAACCTTGCAACTCTACAACATGTGTGTCAGATCTGCAAATCCTTATATGGATTAAAACAAGCCCTATGGACTTGATACCAACAATTTGCTACTTACATTTTGCAGTTGCGGTTCACATGCAGGCAAAGTGATAACTCTCTATTCATCTAACCACATGGATCTAATCTTGCCTATCTCTTGCTTTATGTTGATGACATTTTCCTCACATCCTCATCCGATGGGTTACAATGACGGACATGGGACGCTTAAGCTACTTCTTGGGGATTTCATGACATGGGCTATAACACTCGAAATTTTCAAAAAACAGCCAAGGAAACAGTCAGTGAGTGGCTGAGGAAATGGCCTATGAGTGGCCGAGGAAACGGCCGGTGAACGACTGAGGAAACGATTGGAAAACAGTTGAGATAAATGGTCAAAAACGGTCGAGAAATAGCCCACGTAGCTTGGCCCACGGCCATAGTCGCTGCCAAAGTTGTGTAAGCTTATGTTTAGGGTTTAAGTGTAACATCCAATTTCTAATATGCCCAATTATTTGCTTAGTATATTTAATTATTGGGTTAAAGAGAACTTATGATTTAGTGGGAGTTTGGGTTTGAAATTTTAGAATTATACTTCTTAGGAATATATTAGAGGATTTGAAAAAAAATTCGTCGAAAAAATACGTAAAACGGATTTTTTTTTGGGGAGATCTTTTCTGAAATATATTTGTTGGATGTTATAGATTATTTATGAACGTGTAGGCGAAAACCTCATAGAAAACGGAGGTCCGAGCAAAAAGTTATGAATATTTTAAGTGTTGATAGTCAAAATGGGTACCTAGCCGGGCCAACCCGGCCCAACTCGAGTTTTAGCATTATAAATTGCATTTTTGGCCCATTTTTCATGTCATCTAAGTTCAGAACTCACATACACACACTAGAGGTGCGATTTTCACACACATAGGCTTGATTCAACTCAAATCAAAGAACTACAAGATCTTTGAAGGATTTGATCATCAAGTAAGGTATAATCCATTCTTTGCACTTGTCATTCTTGTTATATGGATTGCATGTCGAGTTAAAGTTAGGGTTTCATATGGGTTTGATCTTAATTGTATAAAATGAGTACATTTTAGTGTTTATGGCATGAAATGGTCATTAGATTTAAGAGATTATCAAGATTTATGCGAGTTCATCATATGAACTTTGACTTGATTAAGTCAATGATTTGGAAGATAATATAAATGATAAAATAAAGGTTGGATTTTGGTTGTTTATGTCAAATATGTTATATTAAGTTGAGGTTCAGAAGTTGAAATGGTTTGGAATCGAAATGGTTTGAGGAAAATGTATGAAAATGAGAATTTTCGACTTTTGAATGCATTGAAAGTGTACAGACTTTGAAAATCTGTATAAAATCGTAGAAAAATCCAAATGAGATGAGGCCAATTTCCTTAGTTAGATAATTGAGTCTAGTTTATTTCTTATTTTATGATCAAGGCATGAATCCGAGCTTAAAATGGGCAAAACAGTTCTGCATGCAGCAGTTTTACATAGAAATTTAGATAAAGTGTTCAAATAGGATATGTGTATATCATGAAATTCTTATATTGGTTGCTTATGAGATTTTATGCATTTACT